CTGTTAGGGGAGAGAATATATACGTTAGAGTGTGTTAAATATACGTTAGAGTGTGTTAAATATACGTTAGTGTGTGTTAAATATACGTTAGAGTGTGTTAAATATACGTTAGAGTGTGTTAAATATACGTTAGAGTGTGTTAAATATACGTTAGAGTGTGTTAAATATACGTTAGTGTGTGTTAAATATACGTTAGTGTGTGTTAAATATCCGTTAGAGTGTGTTAAATGTGCGTTAGTGTGTGTTAAATATACGTTAGAGTGTGTTAAATATACGTTAGAGTGTGTTAAATATACGTTAGTGTGTGTTAAATATCCGTTAGAGTGTGTTAAATATACGTTAGAGTGTGTTAAATATACGTTAGAGTGTGTTAATTATTCGTTAGAGTGTGTTACATATACGTTAGTGTGTGTTAAATATCCTTTAGAGTGTGTTAATTATTCGTTAGAGTGTTAAATATACGTTAGTGTGTGTTAAATATACGTTAGAGTGTGTTAAATGTGCGTTATTACTCACCCCATTGCCTGTTGCTCCACTAGGCAGGAGATTGTGGGTAATTTCTCTCCTCTGAGTTTTCAATAATGAATTTTTTCTTGTTTTAATTATTTATATGTTCCAGCGTAAGTGTTATGGCACAACGAATGAACATATACTTTGATGTAAGGATTTTGTTTATGCTCCAGAGCGTAAGGAATACATTTAGTGTATATATATATATTCTAAAGTAAATATTGTGTACATGCTCCGGTATAAAGAATATATGTATGCAAATATTGTAGCGTCAGGGAAGTGTGTAAGTTCGTATGTAAAGGAATGTGTAACTTGTGTGTGTACCGCTTACTTTGTATGTGATATGAATAATAAGTATATATGCCCCAGTCATGCATATGTGTTCATAGTTAATTATCTCAATACGATATTTACCTTTACACGTTATCATTAACTTGGGCTACATTCACTTAAGTCATTGTTTCTCGTCTTTGTTATATTCTCCATTAACTTAAGTCATTGTTTCTCGTCTTTGTTATATTCTCCATTAACTTAAGTCATTGTTTCTCGTCTTTGTTATATTCTCCATTAACTTAAGTCATTGTTTCTCGTCTTTGTTATATTCTCCATTAACTTAAGTCATTGTTTCTCGTCTTTGTTATATTCTCCATTAACTTAAGTCATTGTTTCTCGTCTTTGTTATATTCTCCATTAACTTAAGTCATTGTTTCTCGTCTTTGTTATATTCTCCATTAACTTAAGTCATTGTTTCTCGTCTTTGTTATATTCTCTTCTGAGTTAGAGTTTCATTACTGGCCGCCAGATGTCCTCTTGGTCTATTTAAAGTCCTCATAGTAAACCGTTAAATGCCTAAAACTTCAGTTACTCTCTGAACACCGTGGGAGGTAGACGCCCATCCTGCATAGAGGACTCGAGACTTGTCGGGATGAAAGCGGTCATTGAGTTCAGTTAAAATATATTGTCTCCTCGGTGATCGTAATAACAAGTGTGAAAATAAGAAAACTGTGTAATAAATACTTAGTGTGAAGTGTATAAATTAGTATACGATTTATCACGTGCAAGTTTAGTGCAATATACTGTATACTATTGTATTTACTGCTACAATGTATGTGTATAAAATATAAGTGTAGTGAAGGAAACAGACACAGCCACGCCGCTGGTCACACCTCCGGGGCCGCCCTGACTACTGTTTCACCCCGACCGGTCACAGGAAGGTAAACACGGATTTATTTCCTTTACTTCTTCAAATATTTCTGTCACTTCATAAGATATTTTTTATATATTGGATATTTTGTGCGCCTGTGTGAGATGCAGTTTATATTAGGAGGTTAATGAAGAGTTTTGTTTTACGAGAGTCGACGGTCGTTAATGTACCGAGAAAAGATCATCCCGCGCTGTGTTGTGTCACTAAACCATCAATAATAATGAAACAATGTTACGGCCGCCATATTGTTGGATTAAATCTATGAACAGAAGGTCGGCCATTTGGGTTTACAGTAAACTGGACACAGCGTCGGAGCATACGAACGTTCCCTGCGTCGGAGCATGTGCTTATTTACACTGGAGCATACGAACGTTCCCTATGTCGGAGCATGTGCCTATTTACACTGGAGCATACGAACGTTCCCTGCGTCGGAGCATGTGCTATTTACACTGGAGCATACGAACGTTCCCTATGTCGGAGCATGTGCCTATTTACACTGGAGCATACGAACGTTCCCTGCGTCGGAGCATGTGCCTATTTACTCTGGAGCATATGAACATTTCCTGCGGCCGGAGCATGTGCCTATTTACACTGGAGCATATGAACGTTCCCTACGTCGAGCATGTGTCTGTTTACACCGGAGCATGAGCATTTCTGCGTCGGAGCAGTGCATTTACACCGGAGCATCCGAACATTCCCTGGACCGGAGCATGTGCCATACACTGGAGCATACGAACGTTCCCCAGGCATGTGCCTATTTACTCTGGAGCATATGAACATCCACTATGCGAGAACATATCCACTTTATCTGAACTGTACCTGAGCATAAGAACATTCCTTACAGTGGAGCATATTAACACAGACGCAGGTGGCTAGACAGACAGACAGACAGACATTGAAGACATAGATTCGTGTAGCTGGATATACATACATACATACATACATACATACATATAAACAAGCCTAATAAAAGATGGAACATGTACACACACACACACACACACGCACATATACACACACATGGATAGGCAGAAGTACAGACAGACAGCCGCCATCCCTGAGTCACTGTATTCACAAGAACATGACAGAAAATAATTGAGAGAGGCTGATGAAGAGGGAATAGGAGGGAAGTGGGAGGATGGAGACGGATGATAACTGGTAATAGAGAGTTAATGATGATGATGGGAGAGAGAGAGAGAGATGAATACAGAAGAGAATGAAAGATAGGATAATAGGTGAGAGGTTGATGGATGAAAGTAAATAATATGTAATTCTCCTGAAAATAATATCACGTCTACTTGTATCCATTAAACACTAATTCTTCTTCACTATATCACCAATAACAGTTAATTCTCCCCCACCCTCCCCTTCTCCCCCACTCCACCCACCCCTCTCCCCCACCCACCCCCCTTTTCCTTCCCTTCTCCTCCACCCACCCCACATTCTGCCCTCCCACCACACCTTCTCTCTCCGTCCCCCACTCACCCCCCCTCTCCCTCCCTCCCCCACCCCCCCTCCCCCCTCACCCCCCCTTCCCCCCTCTCCTCCTCCACTCACCCCCCACTCACCCCCACCGTCCCCACTCACCCCCCTCTCCTCCCCCGCTCACCCCCCTCTCCCTCCCTCCCTCCTCCACTCACTCCCCCCACTCACCCCCTCTCCGTCTCCCCACTCACCCCCTCTCCTCCCCGCTCACCCCCTCCTCCCCTCTCCTCCCTCCCACACCCCCCACTCCACCCCTCTGTCTCCCACTCACCCCCTCTCTCCACCACCCTCTCTTCTCCCCCTTCCCTAGGTGTGGTCCCACTAGGTAAACAAAACCCCTTGAGATTTTAATGCCACAAAACAGTAACTTTTATTTATGTCTATGTAGTTATATGTAAATTTTTTCATTGGTTTTAGTTTCATCTTTTGTGTGTTTTTGTTTTAATTTGGTAACGATGGTTGTGATAATTGCCTTGTTTGAAGAGTTACACGAAGGGTTTTAAAAATTGTTGGGTAGATTTTTTTTGTGGAATCTGGTAAATTGTGTGTGTGTGTGTGTGTGTGTGTGTGTGTGTATGGAGTTAACACACCTGAATATTTTGTACGTACATGATTAAATTCAGGTGTACAGAGTTGGTACTATACTTTATTTTTTTAAATACCAATTGACCCCGCCATAAAATCTACACACACACACGCACACAAACACACACACACACACACACACACACACACACAGTCTCTCATTCCGAGTTAACTTGTCGTGTAAGAACTAAAGTTTCTTTCTTCTTCTTCTTTCTTTTCTTCTTTCTTCTTTCTTTTCTTCTTCTTTCTTTCTTCTTTTCTTCTTCTCCTCCTTCTTTCTTTCTTTTTTCCTCTTTCTTCCTCCTTATTCCTCCTTCTTCCTCCTTCTTCCTCCTTCTTCCTCCTTCCTCCTCCTTCCTCCTTCTTCCTTCTTCCTCCTTCCTCCTTCCTCCTCCTTCCTCCTTCTTCCTCCTTCCTCCTCCTTCCTCCTTCTTCCTTCTTTCCTCCTTCTTTCCTTCTTCCAATCTTTATAATATATTCTCTCTCTCTACTTTCATACAGAGGAAAAATTATCATATTTGATGAGAGTAAATTTAGCATTTGTGTTATCATAAAATGAGCAATTATCTCATCTGAGGAAGAGAGAGGGAGTGGAGAGGAGAGAGGGAGGGAGAGGAGAGGGAGTGGAGAGAGAGACCACATTACAGATTACAGTGTTCATACAACGTACTCTCTCACCTCTCTACTCTCCCCTCTCACCTCTCCCTCCCTCTCTCCCCTCTCCCCTCACCCCTCTCACCTCTCCCTCCCCCCTCCCCTCTTACCATTTCCTCCTGATAAATAATGCTCATACATATACCATAGTTCTGCCCCTCCCCACCCCCTCTCTCCTCCCTATCCCTCTCTCTCTCCTACGTACTACCTCCTCTCTCTCTCTCTCTCTCTCTCTCTCTCTCTCTCTCTCTCTCCCTCCCTCCCCTCTTTCTTCCCTCTCCCCTACCTATTCACTCTCCCCTCTCCCTCCCCTAGTCCACTTTGCCGCAAATAAATGACTTTCATACATACACCGCAGTAGTGTATATATCTCCCTCCCTCTGTCTGTCTGTCTGTCATCTCTCTCTCTCTCTCTCTCTCTCTCTCTCTCCATAATTTCCAGACACTTACTAAGCCAAAATTGGTCGGCAGCAATTAGACTTTTCCCCTCACCTGTGCTACAGTTACCTGGTCTCCCCTCAAATTAATGTATTATTTCCCTCTTCACTGCTCGAAAGGTTCA